GATCATGTGTGTAGAATTATGTAATTTAAATACCTATTTATACAGGGTGTTATGTCTGTATAGAAAACGTGATCCTTCAAGCCGAGTTCTGAGTCGAGTCGTGTGTGGAGGGTGGGCGGTGCCTCTTTTTGGTGATGTGCGCGCTGCTCCTGGTTCCCTTGGCAACGATGAGACGCTTCTACTTTGGCGAGAGACGAGTCCACTTCAAACTAGGGGAGTTTCTCCACCGTCGATCAGAAACTGCTGATGATTGGTTATCACTTTGTCCGTTGCTAGGTCGCTAGCGAGACTGCCGTGTGCAAAGTCTTCACAGTCTACGTATATATGGAGATCTTGTATGATGACACCGGAACTTCGTAATTAACGCTGGCGACACAACAAAACTGTTCAGCTGCTTGTGAAATACCAATTGTTAGTCGAGGTTATGAAACCTTTCTTCAACACTGCAACACTGTAACTAGAAAATGCTGAGTGGGGTCTACTTCAACCGGCACAATCTGGATATTTGCCAACAGGCTGTAATATAGGCGGATCAGCTGTTGGTTATAATCACTGGCATACACAGACAGACATTTGTACTCTCAAGAGAGGTGTGAACTTGCGTGTCCGAGAGAACGCTACCAACCCGTCCGCATGGACCGAAACATTATGACACTGTCCTGGTGTTCTGAAACCTTCGCTCACTGGGTGTGTGGGCTCACTGTCCTAAAGGAACGCTCACAGCCCCGTATGTGCAGACCGAAGCTTTTCGAGACTGTCCGGGTATTTAAACACTTCACTCAAACACACAACACTCGCACTAAGTATCCCTGACTTTGCGTCGCACCCACTGTGGGTGAACTCCACGTTGCACCCACTGTGGGAGCTGGCCAACTTCCCACGTTGCACTCCCGGCGGTGTCGGCGTCGCGTAATGTATTACTTGGCGGTCGAGAATTTCCTTCGACGCCCTCCCGTTCTTGTTTTGAGTTTAAACGCCTTGGTTAAGGACGTTCAGGTTACGGGCAAGTCGAAGGGAATGATTGAAATCCGCCTTTTGATGCATTCAATATTTATTGATGTGGTCAAAACCTGCAGAGAAGATGTTCATAATATTACATGGTAATTCATCTGATACATAATTAGTTAGTCTCACATTATTTTATCTTAATTACAATTTATTAAACATAGTGACATAACACAAAGTTCACAACTCTATTAATCTTAGCTTCGCTTCATTCTGCATTGTCATATTACTCTAGGTTAGGCAGAAACGAGTAGGCGTAATTAGTCAACAATATTTCAGTACCGAGGGGTATGTCATCATTTAGGCTGTACTTACAAGTGCGGGTCAATGCAGATCAGTATAGTGTTCCAAGAGACAACAGTACTGCGTAAATTGTCTCAGCACAAATTCTCGGACAGGATTGTGAGTCGGTGTTCACCAGTGCGAGCAGAAGGCTGGTCTTCACAGCATCACTAGAGAGGGCGATCTGTCTCATGGCGGGGCGGGCAGCACCGCCACCAGTCGAAGACAATTCACTCAGCAGAACCAGGACTTGTCTGTCAACACTTCTACATCTGGCGAGGTCACAGGTCGAAAGATTTAATGGCATCACAAGGCCAGCACTGTACAGTAGATGAAGCCAGCGGCGATAACACAACCCTTACTAATCTTCTTAATCAAAAAACTTGACCATGCCATCTCTAAGCACAGCAGCTGTCCATAGTCAGGTCATAGGGTAAGATGACCCAATCCTCTCACCTGGTTACAAATCTTCTTAATCACAAAATTATCCAGTTTGTACATTTTTTTTATTTTTTTTTTTTACGGGGATAAGCCCAGCCGGGCATAGGTTACTGACCCACATCAGGGCCTGGGGGGCGAAAATATAATAATAATAATAATAATAATAAATAATAATAATTATAATAATAATAATAATAATAATAATAATAATAATAATAATAATAATAATAATAATAATAATAATAATAATAATAATAATAATAATAATAATAATAATATAATAATAATAATAATAATATAGCCAAAATAAATAATAATAATAATAATAATAATAATAATAATAATAATAATAATAATAATAATAATAATAATAATAATAATAATAATAATAATAATAATAATAATAATAATAATAATAATAAAATAATAATAATAATAATAATAATAATAATAATAATAATAATAATAATAATAATAATAATAATAAATAATATAATAATAATAATAATAATAATAATAATAATAATAATAATAATAATAATAATAATAATAATAATAATAATAATAATAATAATAATAATAATAATAATAATAATAATAATATAATAATAATAATAAATATGTAATAATAATAATAATAATAATAAATAATAATAATAATAATAATAATAATAATAATAATAATAATAATAATAATAATAATAATAAATAATAATAATAATAAATAATAAATAATATATAATAATAATAATGTAATAAATAATAATAATAATAATAATAATAATAATAATAATAATAATATTAATAATAATAATAATAATAATAATAATAATAATAATAATATTAATAATAATAATAATAATAATAATATATGTATTAATAATAATAATATGTAATAATAATAATAATAATAATAATAATAATAATAATAATAATAATAATAATAATAATAATAATAATAATAATAATAATAATAATAATAATAATAATAATAATAATAATAATAATAATAATAATAATAATAATAATAATAATAATAATAATAATAATAATAATAATAATAATAATAATAATAATAATAATAATAATAATAATAATAATAATAATAATAATAATAATAATAATAATAATAATAATAATAATAATAATAATAATATTAATAATAACTATTATTAGTATAATAATAATTAATAAATATTAATAACAAAATACTAAAAAAAAAAAAATTTTTAAATAATCATAATCATAAATAAATACAAAATCGAAAAAAATAAATCAAGAATGAGAATGATAAACATTATGTATGTTGTATTGTCAAAGTAAGAGAAACAATTGAAACCCTGCAATTGTGTGTAAATGAAGCAGAAAGTCAGATCAGCAACCTGGGACTTGGTCACAATTTTCGTGATGCCATATGGCAGCAGGGTCCATCATTAGACAACACATTATGCTTCCAATATCTTCCCAGGCGGTAGTACCTCCCTGTTTGATAGCTGCCTACTACCTACTACCTACATACCATTACTCAAATTCATGTTGCCAGATTCGGTATGTTTAATGAGACTGGATTCTATAATGTTCCTACTGACAATTGAATTACAAGGTAATATTGAGGAAACATTATCCCAGTCAACGCAATGCTTATTATCTCTCATATGAATGAACAGAGCCATTGATTCCTGGCCTGTCCTAACACTATATTTATGCTGTTTAAGTCTAGTTATAAGATCTTTACCCGTCTGGCCTAAGTGGAACATATTACCTTACTTGCAAGGAACCTTGTAAATGCAGCCGCCTGCATTGTTGGGGGAGTTCATAATTAACTCCTTAGTCCGTACTCACCCCTGAAGCGCTTGGGATGTTCGTGTTTTCTTGTTTGTTTGTGGTTATTAGTATATATATATATATATATATATATATATATATATATATATATATATATATATATATATATATATATATATATATATATATATATATATATATATATATATATATATATATATATATACTCAAAATAAATAGATGTGCCTATAGGTTGTTTCACTGTAGTTCTTCAAGCACCAAAATTAACATTGACATTATTCTGATGGGTGTCATAATTAAGAAAACTGCTGTAATTGTAGGAAAAATCAACGTATTCAAAGACTGCTTCAATCATCTTATATTAAATGCCAAGAAACATTAATATTTTACTTAAAAATTTATCAATGTGTTTTTGTTTCATGAATGAGAAAAAACTGTTGTAAACTGAAAATATCGTAAGATTGACGTGATGATAAACTGTTTCACTGTCATTACTTTTGGGTTAGGTAGAGTATAAATTTTTGTGGGTTGGCCTGTAGAAAAATAACAGAATCGTATTGCGGCCCATGACTAAGGAAAGGTTGTCCATGCCTCGACTAGAGCAATAAGCACAAAGAAGACAGAATCTTTGTTTTTTCACAATTTTCAGTTTCATTTTTGGTAGAAACTTTAATTTCACTAAGTTATACTCTTGACTACCAACACCAATTTCAACAAGAGAATCTAATGCATCATCAAATATGTAAAGTTAATCTACTTGTTCATGACAACCGATATTTTTTCCCTGTGGGAGGGAGAGATGCAAGTTAAGTGATGGCCCGAGCGGAGAGGGACTGGCCACAAGAGGGATAATGAAGGAGAGAGATGAGTGAGAGTGATAACTGCAAAGAACAGAAGGATCAACAGCCCATCTAACTAAACTTAGGACGTGCGCGCCTCTCAAAATTTACTGGACAAGAAGTACGTATAATCAACAAGCTGAAGTGAATGCCACAGTCAAAGCTTGTGTCTACGAGCGCACAAGTTCCGCTGTGTTATCCCACACTGTATTCACAAGACTGTGTCCAAACTTACCGAGGGCATTCTGCTAAACTGTTAAATTAATTCATTCATATACAAAACGTCTCGTGTATAATATGTCTATGCGACTCACCTATTGGCTCTTCCCGAGACGTCGTTGTGGTTACTTTAGAACAATGTTCCCATGTTCACATGTGTGGTAGACACATCAGTGAACAAGACAAGAGAGATAGATTGTATTTTGTTCAAGTCGAGCAAGACAGAGTAACACACCATCACCAGAGATTCGTTTAATTTGATATTCCAATGACCAAGTGCGGAGGCTTATCCTGGTGTTTATATTTATATTCATAGATACATAAATGTACGTATTATGATATACAAAAAATACTCAACTGCTACTTGTGACAATACAATGTTACTAGTATTAGTATGCATGTTTACAGGGTGGAGGAAGGCTGCGTGGTAACCACCTGGTACCAAGTACTCGGACCTCCGGACTTGGAGATGGCTCGGAGGGACCAACCAGAGTCGTGAGTATTATGTTCTGTTATATTACTGTAGGAAATAATTATTACGTTTAATATCTTATAGAAAAGGGTGTTCACTAATATTCCTCGTTCACACTTGTCATGTTTAGCATTTACTAATACATTTTTCGAATATTTCGATGAAAGGTTATTGAATGTAGTTTACGTTCGCACAATAAGTGGATTATGCTTAATGACGTTTTACGTCAATGAGCTCAGACTTTAGAAAATCTATTTCAACAAACACTGCTATGGCTAAGGGGTAACACGACAATGATAATATTTGCTTATACTTGACTATGTCAAGGGAAGGTGTCTAATGTTCGATTCTTGCCACAATTTGGGTTCTGCCAGAATCAAGAAAAATGAGAATAAGGTTACATAGGCTAAAAGTTAACAGACCTAGATTATATATTTCCACAACTTTACACAAGATTCATGCTATTTATGTATTTCACTCAAACACAGTCATTACCAATCACAATACAATACAGTACAGTACAATAAAAATTAATGTACCTACTGAGGATTTACCAGTTAATGCATTACATTATTGGTTCCTAAATTTTTCCAAACCTTGTACCCCTTGATGTCAGGGCCAATTGCAAGATCAGCCGTGGTGTACACCATGCTGTGGTATCCCGGCGGTCGTAATACAATGGAGTGAAAATTTTGTGATTTTTCAAGATGGGCCATGGTGCATGATGGTAGTACCCGACTGTTGTTTGTTGTTACTACGTCATCGTAGTGTAGTCAGGTGTACCAACTGGCGGAAGACTTGGCTGGTTGGTATGCTTGCACTCTCAAAACGTTGTCAGTGGCACGAAACGTTTACTCTTGCTACACGATTTACGAGCATAAAAAACTTGAATCCTAAGCTAAGGTGTACCTCATTTTCCTATTTTCTTGGATTATAAGCCAATTCAATTCAATTTCAATTTCAATTGTATAT